AGATTCTAAGATACGGCCGTTTTTTACCCTTTTTTACCCTTTTTCTCAAAAATCTCCTGATCCAATTGCAAAAAAATTWGCACCATTCGATTCAGCGTCGTCGAATTACCATTATATCAAGTTTTTGGCCGGGTGCTCAAAAAGTCGGCACTTTGCCTCTTATTGACTGGACTACTTAATAAGCCGAACATATATAATAAGCATTCCGGCGCGCCCGGAATGTGGATTTTCTATATGGTAGTTTTTCGTTGGGCCGCGGTGGGTGCGCGTCCGTTCATCTCTATGCATGCACGTAGGTAAGTATTGCATACGTATTTATACGGACGGAGCGGAGGTTGCTCCTGCCGTCCGAGAGGCGGATCAAACTTTCACATCGTGCCTAGTAATATCTGCTAACGTTGTCATAGTTCGCGGATTGTGCGCGCGTATTATTTTCGCGCAACGAAGCTTCAGCCGGTGTCGAGTTACGCATCGCTTTTAACCGTTATGTCAGAATTTGTCGCATAACTCGAGAAAGCAATAGATGAAATTCGATCGATCGATGGATCCTTTAGATTCGAATAAATAACTCTTACTACCACATTTTCCGTTTGCATCTTTCTACTATTGGATAAATGAAGTAGCAAATGAATAAATAAAACAATTGGGTAATCTTCGCTCGCTAATCCCATAAGCGATGTTGAAAATGCCGTAAACGTCTATTAACTTTCTCTGCGGTAGAATAAAAATGCGTGAGAAAACGCGCAAACGCGCGCATTCGTCGAGCGATCATCGGGAAAAAACAACGTGTGCGGTTTCACTTCGGTGAAACTCGTTGCGTCGATGAACTCCGTGAAGGCTCGCTCGTGCGACCCTGCCACCCGTTCCAGAAACCTTTGCACGCTTCGCTTTAAGCCTGCGCTTTAAGCCTGCACTTGCTCCTTACGAAATCTACAAAGAAATCGTCGATTTAGTACGATCCGTGTTTTATTAAAAGCGGCTCTTTTTAATATTAGCGCGGTTTTTTCATTTACTCGACTATTGTACTCTTTACTGGCGAATGCGCTTTTTATTACGTAAATAAGTTCTTCTCGAGGCTTCGCCGAAGATCTCGAGAGTTGAGGAGAAACGTTCTTCGGGGAGATACGAATAAAGCTCCCGAGTAAATCCGATAAGAGTATAAAAGAGAATCGATCCCGTAGGAGGGCACGAATTTCTCGTTGAAATCGTAGCTAGAAACTTAGTAGGAAGAGAGAGAGAGAGAGAGAGAGAGAGAGAGAGAGAGAGAGAGAAAGTAAGATGGAAGATGAGTTTTTAGGAAGCGCCATTGTTTTCCAGGTCGTTTGGACCTACGGCAAATCCGAGGATCGAGAAAACGCGAGGCGAAAAAAGGAGGAGGTTTTCTCCCCGACTTTGGTCTAGAGAGGCCTTCGTACTAGACGGTATAGTATTTCGTTACTCGGTGGTCACGCGACACCCCCTCGATGCAGAGCGAGTGAGAGCGAACGCGAGTACCAAGGCAACGTGTTGTGCGCCGGATAAGCACCGTCGTGCAGTGCCGCGCACGCCCGATCGAACGCTTTCGTGCAAGTTCGCGCGTGGGCGGTCGAATCCGTACGCGTTCGTTCTCCTTCGGCTTAACTCGGCCAGGGCTCGGCCGAACTCGCACGGACTCGGCCAACCTCGGCCAACCTCGGGCGCGCTCGTTCCTCCGAACGAGCGGCTGCGACTGCGAACGTTGTCGTGAGTCACGGTCCGGGGTCAGTCCGCCGTACGATCGTTGCACTGAATGGAAGGACGCGCGCGCGTGTGTTACTGTGCGATCACGTGAAAGGAACCGATACTTTTTTCTTCTCCTTCTTCTATTTCTACATTTCTACGTTTTTATTCGAGTCTTCTATTCCTTTCCTTCCTCTTTTCACTTCATCTTTTAATATTTATCTCTTTAACCTCTTCCCTTGTCGTCGCCGCGTCATCGCTTTGTGTCGTCTTTTATATATCGTCGTTACGTCGTCGTTGTCGTCGTCGTTGTCGCTGTCGCTGTCGTTGTTGTCGTTGTCGTTGTCGTTTTCGCCGTCGTCATCGTATCGTCGTTGTCGTCTCTTTATCTCGAAAGGAATACAGTGCGATTGAAGAAATAAAAAAAGTCGTTGCAACACGGTGTTATGAAAAGTGTAATAAGTGTGAATGTGAAAAAGATCGGATAGTAGGATCAATTTCTACGTGTTTCTTCGAGGGATAATGTTCAGCCTTGTCGACCAGAGGGACGTTTGGCTAATTCGGAGAGAGACGAGAGTTAGCGAGGAACGCAGGAACGCGTGACAGGTAACGTTTTCTCTTGAATGTGTCGCCTCCTAGCAAGGCCGTTAAAATAGGTATTTGTATTTTGTACGGAGCCAATCGACGAGTAAAAGATGGATGCATTTATCCTTTTCGACTGTTCCTTGAAAACGTTCGATCAACGTTTCGATTAACGTTCGAAATAATATCCCTTTCGGCGGTCGAACGTTTCGAAGCTTTTGAATGATTCTTGGAAGGCGATCGCTCCCCCCCCCCCATGTTTGCGCTCCGCTCGCATCGCGTGCCCCGCGGCCGACATTTTTATACGAAATCCGGTTCGAATGCGATACACTACTGAGAGGCGTCAACGCTGTGACACGTAAATTTTATCTCACGATTTAGATAGAAGGTAAATATTCTTGCTTCTTGGCTATACAAAAGAACATAGAGTAATAATAGCGTAGCAGCAGCCTAGTGTTGTCGGTTAAACGAATTTTCCGACTTGTCTTTGAAAATTTTCCTCCTGGATTGTCTAGCGACTTTAATAGTTAGGCTATCGATAATTTTCAATCTCGAAACAGGAAATTCCATGGGAGTGATCGATGATGAAAAAGATGATCGCGTTGTGTAATGTGGCATGCGAGTTAGGAACGGAGAAGCCAGTTAGGTTGTTCTTCCTCTCTCGCAGCGAGAAGAGGGGGCGTTCTCTTTTATTTTTTGACCTCGAGCCACGATCTCTTGACCGCTTTAGACTCAAAGGTGCCGTCATCCTCCAATATCCATCCTACATTACAATGTTCCTTTAGGATTGCAGTGTTTTTTTTCAATTCTATCTAATACTATCGAAAGAAGAGCTTAGACACGATTGAACAAGTTTAGGCAAGCTTGGACAAGCTGGGCTTCCTTCGACGTTTCACACGGCAAGAACAAATACACGAAGAAGAGAACACAAAGCACTCGTTTCATTCGCTTATCGTTCGTACGACGATATGAAATGTATAACCCATCATTAGTAACGAATATTATCAAAATAAAATATAAAACGCTGTCTCTTTCTCTCTCTCCTTTCTTTTCCATTTTTTTCTATTTTTTGATTATTCTTACCTCGTTATTACCACATCGTGCAGTTTCCATCCAGCATCCAATGAAATTTTACGGCGTTCATTTTGAATTCGTTCGCTTTAAAGTGTATAGCATCGTTTTTCAAATCTTCCGACCGAATTCTCTTTCTCCCTACCTAGTTTTTGTTTGTAGATTATTTTTGCAAGTATATGTTCCCATGAATATCGCTCTATTTTTTAAAACGCGAAACGGCAACCGAGCGTGAGTTGCTCGTTCCTGAAGTTCTTCGCATTAAACTCTACTTCTGTTTGTCTCTCTCTCTCTCTCTCTCTCTCTCTCTCTCTCTCTCTCTCTCTCTCTTTGCCCCGCTCTCTTCCTTTCTCTTTCCCTTTCCTTTCCTTTCCCTTCGTTTTAGCTAGCTCCCTGGTCTATATTCCAGCGAGTGGTCATGGAAATGCGAAGCTTACCGTAAGATGGATACGCCGAGTTTCGTTATGGGTCTTTTGTCTCTCCCATGTAAATGTCGACGGTGGTATTCATAACGCCCCGTTAGCCCGACCATCCTCGTTTGTCCTTTCATTTTCGCGCGAACGATGGAGACGCGAAGCGCCCTACTCTAAACTTTCCATCGCCTTTGATTCCCTTCGCGCAAGTTTAACTTTACTATGTGTGAGCGTAAGCGTATGCGTCGACGTCTTTAATATTAATTAAGTATCCATTGTGTAACCGGCAGCAACAATGTTGTTTTCGCAGAAACTCCTCCCCTTTGTCAACTCTTTGTCATTGCGCGAACATCATTATAACGAGCTTGGAATTTCTTCAATGAAATTGTCATTTGATTCATAAGCCATGTGTAGTTACGATTAAACTCGTGCGCATTTAAAGAGAAACAATTTTGGCTCGAAAACCAGATATACCAGGCTATACAGTAGTTAGGCTATCGGGAATTTTTACGTAAATACTAAAATATATATCAGCTCGATTTCGAGTAATGTCTCATTAGTCAGAGGATGATTTCATCCATTCGATTTCTAACAATGGAATTCCGTGCGATCGAACTCGAAGTAAAACACGATTCGAGATAAAAAGGAGTCCGATAAGTTTGAGTATTATCGTTTGCCGATCGCGGTGCAGTCCTCGTCGCTTTCTCTCTCGTGACTTGGGTTTGTTTATTCTACCCTAGAGAGTAGAGAGTGTTCGCGACGGATAATCGCCAACGGATCCCATCCTTGGCGAATCTTCTTTGCGAGACTTTCCGTAGACGCCATTTTTGATTTTCGCGACAAGTTTATACTTTCCTATCGACTTTACCGTACGTGCGCTTTTCGATCGAGTTTTCTTTAATAAACTTATGTCAATACGTTCGAGTATTTCTTTTCGAATCATCAGCAAACAAAATGGAAAAGTCGAAAATTTGAAGTTGCGAGCGAGCGATTATTCAACGGAAAGAAAGGACGGCCTAGCAACTGTGACGTGTAAAGCATGCGTCCGGAGTCGAAATTCATTGTACGTCAAGTCGTTCTACGTTAGGCGGAAAGACACGTTCATACATACATATATATGTATAATATATACTACGTATATACTAGACGCGTATGCGGTACTTAAATACGCGTGGGGTGGCTGAGTGGACGTAGGAGAGAGAAAAAGATAGAAGAAAAGGTATGAATGGGCTAATCAATTTTCAGACGCACGACCTGCAACGAAACCAACAATGTATGAACGATGTACCTAAACTATTTGATTACTTTAAGATCGCATGTACGTCTAGCTTTAATCATTTTTACAAAACATTTCTATTCTAATTCAACCGATTTTATTTTATTTCCCTTGTTTATTATAAGTTGGTTTTTTTACGCAAATAACATACATATACATGTATATTTTAGGAAGTAATTCTCGCATCGAGACAAAGTTCTATAACGCTTGCTTGATTCGTTCAAATAAACGACGACTATGCTTTCTTTTCTCTCTCTCTCTCTCTCTCTCTCTCTCTCTCTCTCTACATTATCTTAGAAGTAAGGGGATTGTAGGGGATTGTAAGGGGAAAGTAAGCCAAGGGCGAACACGAGAAGGAGAAATAGAGATAAAGATAGAAATTTAATTTTAATAACGCTCCGCGCTCGGAAATCATCGTCTAACTAAGAAAATGATTTACATTTATTTACTCGAACTCTCGTGTTTCACAAATAGTTGGATGCAAAAGATTTTCGTGAAATTCAGAAAGAAGAAATATGCGTAAATGTGCTCTCGCGTAAATGTGTTCTCGCGAGTCTATCGAGACAGGAATTCGATGTTGAACAAATACTGTTTTGTTTTTTGTAAATAACATTATCCATCGTAAAATAACGAAGCGATCGATCGGTCTTGCCGAGTCGTTGACTAATCGTCTTATTAACTCGACGTAAATGCGAACCGTTCGCGCGATAAAATTAGAAGGACGACTTCCGAGAAATAGACAGAGATGGAAAAAGAGGAAGGAAGTCGGGTTAGGTGAGCGGTACTCGTTTACCCATGAAATTCTTGCGTACGCGAGCTGCATAGGAAGATAAAAGAGAGATCCGATCTTATCTTTTGTTATCGGGAGCTGGCATAGATTATCGCGCGAATGATTCAGTGTCCATTCGCTCCCAAGGTGCCTTGGCCTCGACTCGAGCAACCTTTGGATAGGTCTATGTTTGCGACCGTCGGGCCAAAGCGATTACAACTTTATCGATCCAAAGCCATCCGTTTCCACAAATCTAGTTTTTGACTTTTCTCGCGATGGACCGATAGTTATGAAAACGATATTATCCGGCTGGGCCTGCTGAAATTCTCCGAAAATTCATTTTCGAGAGAAAACATTTCCTAGGAGAAAAGCTCAAGTACGAGCAAGAGAAGGAGAAAGAGAAAGAGAGAGGAATTTCGGTCAGCCGGTTTCGTATTTTGACGGTGACTCTAAGAGAGAATTCCAACGACGTGGGTATCGCCTACGTGACTCGACTCGACGATTAAGTGTGAGACGTTTTTTGACCGAGTACTAATCGCTAGGTACATCGATTCTGTAAGTAAGTACGTACTTGTGAATATATACGAGTATTCTCATCTCTTTCTATATCTGTTTATCTATAAATAATATTATCTTATGTTCAATAGATTCAATTGAAATATCAAGGAAATTTATTCTCTACGATTTAGATTCAGTCTATATTTCTCTTTCTCTCTATCTTCGATGACTTAACATTGGTATTTTCCAAACAAAATCTGACGAACACGACCTTATTTCGTAACTAGTTTGAAATGAAACGAGGGAGAGAAAGAGAGAGAGAGAGAGAGAGAGAGAGGCAGGGGGAGAAAAAAGAGATTTGAAGCTAGTTCTAGCCTTACTAGAGTAGCATCAGAATAGTACATTGGTTGTACTAGGGCGGAAGGAGGACTGGAAATTAACGCGAACCCGATCCTTCCGCGTAATCACCGAATTCCAAGGCTTTCAATGCGTCTCATGAATATTCATACCATTTACGTAAGCCAAGAAGACCCCGCCTTCTCTCTCCCTCTGCCCCTCTCTCCCTCTCTCGATCTTAATTTTAATCGTTCCAAAATCTCTTCTCCTCAAAAGAAAGAGACAATTCGATCGAAGTATTTAATAGTCGAGATAAGATCAAGATACGTAAGAATCGGGATAAGATCGGTCGTTTGCGATCTAGAACTCTGATCGGTCTCCCTTAGATCTATTCGATAAATAATAATCATTGCGGTCTACAAATTCCACTTACGTCTCGATGGCGATTCCTTTATATACACTTATTACACCTTTACTTCTGCCGACGGAGATGGAAAGAAAGAAAGAGAGAGATAGGTCATTAATCTTGGAAGGAATCGAGCGAGCTACAAGTGGTTTGACATTCGAACTATTCTGCTTGCTCATCCTCCAAGGAAGAAGAAAATGAAATAGGTAATCGTTCGTTTTTAGTCTAATCGATTAGCGTTCTCCTTCGACATCG